TTTTCATCATGCCCGTTATCTATTCCAGCATTTTCTACTTTTACATCACATTTTCAGCATCCACAGTACTTCGGTGCCTTTCTGAAAAAAAGGTTCAGTTAGCTGTCCCTGAAGTGCTTGGTTGGGTTATTGTAATGGAATTAATTAGAAAGACAGCTTAATGAGCTGAGGACAACTCCGTGAATACCTTTTTCTCCAAGGTGTGATTACCGCCTTATTGAATCTTGATTTTTATATTCTACTTTTTGAACTAAACTGTAAAAACGTGTTAAATGTTAATGAACCTGAGATCCTGCAGTTAGTGTTCTGTGAATTAATCCTGACAAATAGCTCTGGTCTTTCCACAGCACTGAACTAGTTCCAGTCAGAAGTCAGTTACTGTTATTTTAAACTACAAAGCATTGTCTCACCCACATAAAATCATAGAATTATGTCAAACAGAAGTATTTCAAACACCTCTATCAAATGTTGTCTTAACCTTCTTTTATAGAATCCTTTTTTTTGTATAGAATCCCCACAGTGTGGAAGCAGGCCATTCGACCCAACAAGTCCACACCAACCCTCCAAAGAGCATTCCGCCTAGACCAATCCCCCTACCCTATAACCCCGCATTTCCCACAGCCAGTGCGCATAACCTGCACATCCATGAACACTATGAGTAATTTAGCATGTCCAAACCATCTAACCTGCACATCTTTAGACACAAACAAAAAAAAACTGTAGTTGCTGAACATCTGAAATAAAAACAAAGTGCCCGAGGAACGCAATGGCTCTTCAAAATCTCAATTTAACCTTTTCTGCTTTAAGAACAACCCAACTTTTCTAGTATCCCCAAATCACTGAAATGCTTCATTTCTGATGCCATTCTAGTAAATCTCAGCTGTACTATCTCTAAGGCCTTGAAATCCTTCAAAAGTACAGTGCTTATAGCTGAACACATGGCCCCTGCTAAGGCCTAACCAGTGTTGCATTAAAACTGAGTAAGCTACTTGCTTTTGTACCCTTGTTTTGCTATTGATAACGTTTAAAAAATCCTGTATTTTTTAAAATAGACTTCTCAGTTTGTTCTGTCACCTTCATAAAATTTTTGTCTGTGTTTACAGACTGCTTGTTTAAATTTGCAGGCTGTCAGGTTCACCGTACTTTCCCTCATTCTTTTTAATTTCTAAACTTTCATCAATCATCTGTCTGCCCATTTGACCACAGTGTTACCCCTGAGATCTGCTCCTTTTTCTTATTGTTTACGATATTTCCAAGTTTTGTACCGTAAGAATAAAAGAAGTAGGAGCAGTAGGAAGCTCAATCAGTCCCTTAAGCCTGCTTTGACAGTTAGTGAGATCATAGCTGATCTTCAAACTCATCACCATTTTCCTGCACTATTGCATACTCCATAATGTTTGTAATGTGAGGAAATCTATCAATCACAATCTTGAGCATATTCAACAACTGAGCCTCCATAGCCCTCTGGGATGAAGGATTCCAAAAAGTGAGGACCCTGATAGTCCTAAATAGCCTACCCCTTATTCTGAAACTTTGTCCTCTGTTGTGGACCTCTCTCCATTTAATTTTGATTTTCCTACCAAAGTGGAGAAATGTAAGGTTTCCACTTTCTCAACTTTATATTTCATTGACAATTTTTTACCCACTCATGTAACTTCCTCAAATAGCTTCTGATGTGTCTTTGCATCTTCTCCTGCCACAGCCCAGGGAAACATCATCAGTGCACGCAATCTTTCAACTCCTGTCAGAATTGTATACATTTCAATGAGATCCTGTCTCATTCTTCTAAAGTCCAGTGTATGCAGGCCAGGTTGACACTCTATACAATAAGCCTGCCATCCCAGGAATCAGTCTGGTGAACCTTCATTGTACGCCCTCTATGGCAAATATATATTTTCATGGGTAAGAAGAGCAAAACTACACATAGATTCCAGGTGTGGGCTTACCAAGGCTTTGTACAGATGCAGCAAAACATCCTCACTCCTGGACTCAAACACTTTGTAATGAAGACCGTTATACCAGTTACCTTCTGAATTGCACATTGCACCTGCACCATACATACTTGCTTTCAGTGATTGGTGTACAAGGACATTTCCTAATCTGTCACTGTTTAAATAATACTCTGCTGTTTTGTTTTTCCCACCAGAGTGAATAACATCACACTTATCCACATCCACCATGTGTTTGCCCATTTACTCAACTTGTCTAAATCATTTTGAAGCCTCTTTACTTCCTTCTCGCCTCTCACAATTCCCCTTAGATTTCTGACATCAGCAAACTGAGAAATATTACATTTTATTGCATCATTAAAAAAAATTGAAATTTATTGTGAATAAGTAGGCCCAAGTACTGGTCCCTGTAGTACTCCAGAGTCACCACTTTTCAGTCTGAAAGGGATCCATTTATTCCTATTCTGTTTTCTGTCTGCTAAGCAATTCTCAATCTATGCCAGTATATTACCCTAACCTTTAACCTTGTATACTGACCTCTTTTGTGGGACTTTTTCAAACGCTTTCTGAAAATCCAAATAAACCAAATCCACTGATTGTCCCTTTTTCTATTATACTAGTTATATCCTCAAAACAAAAACTCCTATATGTTTGTCAAACAATATTTCCCTTTAATAAATTCATGTTGACTTTTATAATCCTCTTGATATTTTCTAGGTGTCCTGTTAACACACCTTTATCATAGATTCTCGCATTTTACCTACTATTGATAATATGTTAACTGGTCTGTAATTCCCTGTTTTCTCCCTCCTTCCTCTTTTTTTGTTACATTTGCCACCCTCCATTCTGCAAGGGCTGTTCCAGAAGCTACAGAAGTTTGGAAAACAGCAACCAAAGCACCCATTATTTCTGTGGCCATCTCCTTGAGTATCAAACAGGCTGTGGGGATCTATCAGCTTTCTTTCCATTAATTTTTCCACTTTTTTTTTACTACTACCAATTTCCTTTAGTTTATCCTTCTCAATGGAGCCAGGCTTCCTTATATTCCTGAGATGTGTTGTCTTCTTTGAAGACAGAACAAAAATAGTTGTTCAATATTTGTGCCATTTCTCTGTTGTTCTCTATTTTTATTCTCCCATTTTAGACTGTAAAAGACCTAGATCTGTCTTTGCTTAACCTTTTTCTTATTACATTGTTACAGAATCTTTCACGATCCACTCGTGTCCCTTGCAAGTTTATTGTTGTATTCTATTTTGTTCCTCTTAATTAATCTCTTGGTCCTCCTTTACTGAAGTC